TTTTTTTTATAGATGGAGATAAATTATTTTTTCATTAATCAACCAATGACCGATTACCTAGTTAACTTTCGACATCCTAAATATTCAAATATATTATCACTTGGAGTTTCAGTTACTCGAGCATTCGCTTATCGTAGAAGATATACAAAACATGATGCATATAAATTATTAACCAAAAAATTAAAAGGAGTAAATTCATCTACAAGAAATATTTTAAATGCACGAATTTGGAAACAAATATTACATATATGGTGTCCAAGTGGAAAAGTTGCTAATATAATACGTAAAGTTTATTCTAAATTATCTAAAGATTATACTTCCAATACTATTGTTGTGTTGACTGTGGTTAATTGTAAATGGATTTTTACAAATATTAAATAAATTTATTATTGCTGTAAATTATGTAATGTGTATATATACAGTATATATATATATATATATCAGATATTTATTATTTTTTTTATCAATATAATTTTTTTTTTATATCAAATTATCGCTATTTTCAAAATACTTGAAATAAATTTTTTTTTAAAATATTGTTAATACTTCTAAAAAATTATGAATACTCTAGATTTTTTTTTTATTTGAATACTTTAAATATTAAAGTTATTTCAAGTATTTTGAAAATAGCAATAAATGATCTAAATAAAAAAGTGAAAAATAAAGTTTTTTACGGAATTAAATAAATATGTATAAAGGAGTGCGGATCGAGTCTATAAGTTTTATTTATTCAATTTATGGTAATGACCAGTGTTAAAAATATGTTGTACAGAAAAAATTTTTTTATACGTAAATGTTATTCTATTTTTTTGTACACTTGCACAGCTCTATTGTTAATTTTGAGCAAATAACAATACACTGGTAATGTTAATGACACGGAGGCACTTTTAACCCAGGGATTAAAAATAATTATTTTAAAAAATTGTGGGGAAAAAGTGAACGCCCAACTTTAGGGGGAGAGAGATAATAACATTCGGTTATAATTTCTCACTTGTCTGAATTGTAGTAACGGTAATGGAGTTTGTATTTTATCGTATTTATGCAACTATACTTTTGAAGGATTAGTATTTCTTGGACAATAATTTTTATTATTATTTGAAACGGAGAAATATTTATGCTTAAACCGAATGAAGTTTTGCTTAAACCGAATGAAGTTTCATTAGAGTATGCCGCGTACCAATGAAACCGAATATATTCAATATTATATTGATATATATTCCCGAAAAAAAAAACTTTCCAAGACCAGTCTAATTTTGGAATTCGATTTTTCAGAAAAAATTATGATATGACTTTTCAAAGATAGATTTCTAATTAGGTCATAAGATCCTTTTAGTATTACAGAACACAAAAAACGATGCAGATATAAGATATAAATGGTAATATACTAATTAAAAAATTATGAAATAAATGATTTACAGATTTACGACGTATTCGTACGTAATCGCGAAACATTAAAATCAAACCTAACTTATGATATTCTCAAAATAAAGCCACCAGGTACCGAAAACCTTTTTTAATATAATATTTCAAAGAATTATTCTATTCGATATAAAGTTTTTTAAAAAAAGTGATTATCCCTTATGAACTACGTAAAAGGTAAGTATATACGTAAAGCTGCATACTTTTGATTAAATTATGTCATTATGACATTTATTAATTATTATATTCACAAAAAACCTAACCTAATACTAGTTAGTATTTTATATTATATCATGAAATTTGCCTAGAACAAATTCAGAAATTCCTGAAGTATATTCACGTGACGGCGGATTAATTCTTTTAAAGTAACATATATATAGATATTTAATATCAGATATAGATATATCAATTATTATCGTTATTACAATATAAAGATCAAGAGCAAACCAGAATCAATCCGGTTTATTCCTTCTTTATGTACGAACGCTAATACTGATGTACTGTAAATTAGAAGTCCAATTAACATACAGTACAGTACTTGTACTCCAAGGAAACGCGTATTATCGTATTATGCAATTTTGAACTTATGTTACGAATATAATTAATTATTAATTGTTTATCGTTATGCATTTAATTAATATAAAAATTCCGAATAGTACCACATCGAAATGAAGTTTAGAGGTTTAGAGGTACGTACCAGGTACGTACAGTACGTGCGTACCTTTAAAAGAATTACGAACGTCTGTTCTTTTATTCTTATCCGTAAAATTCCGATTAAAAGAAATTTTTGAATATTATTTTATTTTATAAAAATTTAAACTTTTTTATTTTATTTTATTATTATTATTATTATTATTAAAAAAAGAAAAATTAATTGAGAATTAGTCAAATACAATTAATAAGATGAATGAACTCTATTATTAAACTTTGAATAAAAGGAGCTCAAATCAACAAATAATAAAGTTGGTAAAGACATATATCACGAAATTCAGCCAAACTTGCTAATTAGCAAGGGGAACGTGTTATATACAGTACAATACAGTATACATTTATATTTAAATTATTGAGATTGCGTCGTATATTAAACATTTTATATAGATTACCATCTATCCACACTTTTTAGTAATATGGTATATAATTACCATATTTATCATGTATGACCCCGAGTTTGATAACGGATTAAAGTTGAAGCAAAAAATAGAACAGACATAAAAATAGGATAGAATTTTTTTAACAGCAGTATCTTGTTATGGTAATTATGTACGTGCGTACGTACGTGCATATTATATTCCTGTTATCTGTTATATTAATAAATATTAGAAACGATCAAAAACTCGGATTTCTCATTTTTTTTACAAAAAAAAAAAAAAAAAATTTTGAACAACGAAACACTAAAATTTTCGATGCTTATATCCCCTGTCCATCCGTTATCATTTTTTCTAATTTCGTTTGTAACCGTTTAGGAGTGTGAAAAAAAAATAATATATATATATATATATATATATATATAGTATATAATGATTCGCAGGGTTCATTCATTTGTCTGAAAAAATCATGTTGAACTAGTACAAAAATATCTAGAATTCACACAAATTACCTAAATAACTAGTACAATACCATACCACTTCAGTATCTTGTCATTTTTAACACATGATTTTCTAATACTTTTACATATCTGATATCGGTAATACTTTTAAATATATATTATAGAAAAAGTACACGACGGGAAAACAAAAATAATATCTGGTACGTAAGTTACGTACGTATGAACTGTACTGTACATACTTATCTGTGAGTACGTAATGTTATGTTATACAAAGCGAGAAATTAATTTTAGGATTTAATTAAACTTTTTTTTTTGGTAATATACAAAAAAAGAAAGGAATTTTTAAAAATAAATTACAAAGTAATGGCTATTAATGCCGAAAAAAGAGACGCAAGTAAATTATTAGTATATTACGATATAATAAGAAAAAATTACGCGGTATTTAATGATTATTAATAATGGTAATAATGGTAATAATAAAACAAATTACAGTACGTATAATGTTTTTTTTGATTTACAAAATTAATTTTTTTTTTTTTTTTTTTTTGATGGGTTAACATATCACATTAAAAAAAGGTAGTATAAAAAAAGAGGATAGAAAATTTGAAAACGCGTTGAAACTATGGGAACGTCTAATTTTCAAATTTTCAAAAATTTCAAAGGAATATTTTTAAAAGCTTAATATCATATATAAATATATTAAATAAATACTAAGGCGTTATATAATATAAATATATATATTGTTTGTGGTTGATTGATACGTAAATTACCCATCATTCTCATAAACCTAACCTGAAATATTGAAAGGAAAAAAGTAATATAAACAAAGAAAAGAAAAAAATATACAAAAAAAAAACAGAATTATTTAAATTTTTTTTTTTAAAAAAAAAAATTCACACCACTAAAATCACATATTTTTAAAAAAATGTCCAATGTCCAAGATCTAAACTATGTGCAATAAAAGAATTTTTTTTTTTTTTTGATAATTATTAGGAAATTTTTTCTTAATAATTAGGAAATTTTCTCAATAGATGCCAAAGCCCCTAATTTATCTACATGTTCAGATAATTGTTCCTGTAATTTTTTTAAACGTTCAATTAAACTTGGTACTACTTCAACACTGATTCTAAGATTTTCTTTTTTCCTTGAACCTCCATTATTAATATTACGTTTTCCATTTGTTAATTTTTGTTTTTTTGCATTATGACCATTACAAATAGTTGAATCAGAATAATCACTATCATAACAATTTTCTTTATCATCATCCATTAATATTATATCATTAGAATCATCACCAAATTCTTCTACTATAATCTTTTTCAATACTTGCATATGTCTTTCAGAAGGTATTCGTTCGATATCAACAGCAACTCTTTTTCCACCACCAAATGTTGGTTGACGATCTATAGCTGCATCAGAAAGGTCAATTATTACAGCAGCTTCTTCCCAATATTGTTTAAATCGTGATTCTAAATCTTTATATTTTCTACTCTTTTTTGTGAAACCGGTTGACCATCTTCTTGAAACTTTTGTTTGAATCGTTGAAGAAAGTAACACCTTTTTATCACGTAACATTTTCAATTCTATTAAAAAAAAAAAAAATTGATAAAATAAAAAATATATAATTTGATATATATATATATATATAATTAGTGATATAATTAATTAAAATAATAATAAATGATAATAATATAATTACCATTAATTTGAGAAACGAAATCCCGAATATTATTAATATCCATCCTTAAAGAGAACTGAGCTTGTTCAACAGAATTAGGAACATTTATTTCATGATCATCGTCAAATTCAAAGTCATCATCCCAACTTTCACTTGGAGTAGCTGTTTATTATAAAAAGAATAGTCACGTGAGTAAATGCACATGATCAGTAACAAGAGAAAAAAATTTTTTTTTTTTTTAAATACTTACGTTGACGATAAAAATTTTTAGAAGTGGTTGTAGTAGTAGGAGGTAAAGAATTCGAACGATTATGTCGAAATTTAGACCTAGGAGGGGTCAAAGATATTGAAGACATTGGAGGTATTGGTAAAGAAGCCCTTTCTTTTGGTGGATCAATAAAATCAATAT